GGAACTTTTTAATAATATTCTGTTAGGAGCAGAGGTACCTCCATCTTGGAGAAGGGCATTTATATCATTGATCCCAAAGGAGGATCAAGATTTGACTTAGCCTAAGAATTATAGACCTATATCTCTTTTGAATACAGATTATAAGATTTTTTCAAAAATATTGGCAAACAGATTAATGCAAGTTTTGAAGCAATTGATCCATAGTGATCAATCTGGATTTATAACTGGAAGATACATGAAATATAATGTAAAACAAATTGTTAATCTAATTGAGTACTTAGACAAGAATAACCAAATCCCTGCGGCTTTGATATTTTTGGATGCTGAAAAAGCTTTTGATCAATTAGATTGGTGATTTTTATTGAGAGTAGTAGAGAAAATGAACTTTGGGGATAAATTTTTGTATGCTCTTAAAGCTATATATCAACAACAATCTGCACAAATTATAATTAATGGGGGATTAACAGAAGCATTTAACATTGAAAAGGGTACTAGACAGGGATGTCCTTTATCCCCATTGTTATTTGTTTTAACAATGGAGATTTTACTTATTAAAATTTGAGAATCATCTAGAATTAAGGAAATAAAAATAAATAAGAATGATTATAAGTTGAGAGCTTTTGCTGATGATTTGGTTGTGACATTATCTCAACCGACAGATTCGGTTAGGGATCTGGTTGAAATTTTAACTCAGTATGGGAAGGTCTCTGGCTTTAAGGTAAATAATAGTAAGACTAAAATATTATCGAAAAATATGTCTATGAAGAAAAAAGATATTTTGGTTAAATTAACAGGTTTTGAAATAGTGAGAAAGGTTAAATATTTAGGAGTATATATTACAGCTTCTAATGTTAAATTGTATAAAAATAATTATGAGACACTATGGGCAAAAGTTCAAAAGGATTTAAACGATTGGAAAAAATTACAGTTATCTTTGTTGGGGAGAATCTCAGCAGTTAAAATGAATATTCTTCCAAAGTTTCTTTTCTTGTTTCAAATGATACCTATTTTGAAAAAAGATATTAATTTGGTGGAATGGCAGAAGGGGATTAATAAGTTTATCTGGGCAGGGAAAAAACCAAGAGTTAAGTAAGATTATACAAGATGTAAGGAAAGAGGAGGACTTAAGGCGCCTAATTTAAAATTGTACTATGATGCGGTGGCTTTAACGCTGATTAGTGATTGGCTCAATTTAACAAATAAAGATATCCTTTCTCTTGAGGGTTGGGATTTAGTATATGGATGGCATGCTTATTTAATTTATGATAAAAAAGTGGATCAGGTTTTTAAATCTCATATCTTAAGAAACTCTTTATTATGTGTCTGGAAGAAGTATTATTATAAGTTAAATTATAAAATTCCAATTTGGGGAATTCCTGGACATGTGATAGAGGGAATATCTAGGGGGGTGAATTTGGATAGGATTTCTTATAAGGAATTACCTAGTTTGGTAGGGAAGGATTGGCAACTAAAGTCTTTAATTGAGCTGAAGCAAGAAAATATTGTATACTCTTGGTTTCAGTACAATCAATTGTTAGTGAGGTGGAGTTTAGATCAAAAGGTTGATATTACCTTAGAGGATGTGAATTTGGTAAAACAGATTAAAGATCAAACTCGAGCCCAAATAAAGAGAATTTATAATGTTTTAATAGAATTAGATTCTGAAACAGAGTTAGTTAAAGATTGTATGGTTAAATGGGCTCAAAATATTCAAGAACCGATTTTATTGGATACATGGGAGACAATTTGGGTTAGAAATGTAAAATTTACTCAAGCTCAAATTTAAGAGAAAATTTTTATAAAATATTTTATAGATGGCATTTGGATCCCCAAAAGTTGTCCCGCATGTATCCTAATTTATAGCCTAAATGTTGGAGATGTGGAAGCTTAGATACAACCTATTTTCATATTTGGTGGACTTGTAGAGATATAAAAGCTTTTTGGATTAAGATTTGGTGGAATATTCAAAAGATTTTTAAGAGAAAGGTAAAGTTTACTCTGCAATTATTTTTGTTGGGTATCATGGTTGATTTTGATGTTAAAGAAATTAACTTGATGCTGAATCTTATAACAGCTGCAAGATTATTGGTGGGGCAATATTGGAAGAAAAACTCTTTGCCTACTATGGAAGAATGGATACTTAAGGTGTCTAATTTAGCAGAAATGGTGAGAATTTCTGCCTATTTGAAGGACCATTCACAAGAAAAATACATTTTGGTCTGGAGAAGATGGATTGATTATATTCAAAAGAAATATGAGACTGAAAAGTATTATCTTGCTTATGAGTAGATTTTAGGTTATTATTAATAGTTTAATATGATTGAATTTATATTATTTTTAGTGTTATGGTTTAATTATATTACTATTTTTGTTTTCAATTTGTTAATATTTGTTTTGAAAAGGAGTTAAAGTATGTTATGGTTTGATTGATAGTACAGGCGGATAATGTTAGTTAGATTAGGATTGTTTATTTGTTACCCTGTAATCAGTTCTGGGAAATGGGGGAGGGGGGAAGGGGTGTGAGGGGTTTGGGTTATATTGTATTAAATTTGTAAAACTTTTAATAAAAAAACTTTGGACTTAAAAAGTTTTAAACGGCATCGGTGACATCTTGTGGCAAAGTATGGTATTATAACTTGTTACTGACTAAAAGAGAATTGGCTTGAAGCCCAGACTCTAGAAAAAACTTTTTGACCTTGACAGATACCACCTGTAAAAAACTCAGCTGTAAAGAAGGAACTTTAGGGTGGCATATCTGGCCTGTTTGAACTACAAAGGTAAACCTTTACTGATTTTCAGAGTTATATGTGGGGAATTGCTTTCCTATTTCTTTACATGAGAAGTATTGTTATTAAACAAGATGATGGAATACTTTGGACTATAAATTCTTATTTGGCAAACAATTTCCACTATAAAGACTACCTACAACACGTGAAATAGATGTCCCATACCTAGTTATAAAAAACAAAAAACTATTTTTAATGTTTGATTTTAAAGACTTCAGCTTAACACATTATCAAGAGAATATGGATGAAGTTCAGGAAAAAATCCTTTCTATAGTATGTTGAAATCAATATACAAAACCATTCTTTCAACTTGTAACAAAATAAGATGCAAAATAAAGGAACAAGATGCCTGCTTAGATATATAAACCCAGATCTTGACTACAACCAAAGAACTAACAATGCAAAAAGTAACAGGAGAAGTGGAACAACTAAATACTAAGATAGAGGACCCAATTGACCAAAAAACTGTGACCAAATGGTCTTTTGTCAACGCTGTTAATACAGTATATTATTGCTTTGACAAAATATATAGAACTGTCTGGTATTTTTAGAGTTAAGTGAGAGTAACAGAGAATGGGAGGAGACTTATAAGGAAAGCCTGGGAAAAAGAACGGAAGTGAATCTTTGCCCTCTGGGCTAATTGGAAGATGTGGCTTATGACTGCAAAATAAGGGAGGGGTTTGGCAAGAAAAGTTAGACGCAAGCAAGGGGAATTCAGATTCTGGCAGAAACCATAGATGAAGTGCCGTCAATCTGTTACACTGATAATAAAGGCTTTTAGGGTAAACCTTGCCTGGAAGTTCTTTGAAGTGTTTCATTAGTCGGAACCATGACATATAATATACATATAATAATACATATACATATAATAATAGAGGGAGAACTGTTTGAGGATTCAGATGTACTGACATGGAAGGTTAGTTGGCAAAGGAAAAAAGCCAGATTAAGGCTGAAAAAACTAGGGTTTTGATCTATTAGAGGGGATTATATATGACTGATTAGAGGGTTAAATATGGTGAAAATTAGACAGTTTTTAGAAAATAAAGTAACATTATAATTGAATAGGTAAGATATGTAATAAGACTAACTTTTGGTTTAATATGGTGGAAAATAGATAACTTCTAGAAAATAGAATAAGATTATATGCAAATATATAAGATGTATATTTAGAATATTAGATTTTGTTATGAAAAGGGAAAATGTAGAGTTGAGATGAGGGAAACTCTGGTCACCTAAAGCTTGGAAATTATAAATACCAAATGTTAATTTGAATATTGATGGGAAATTAAAGCCTGGGAAAAAAGCAATAGTAGGACATTGATTGTATATAAGGATTGAATGCAAACACAATTAAGATATGTATAAGCTAAAAATTATTGATAAATGTAACAAAGATGTTTTTACTTAGTTGATAATAATAAGAACTATATTAGCCTAATATAAGATAGTAGATATTAAGGGAAAAAGAGAGGAAATATCTGATGTTGTAACTTGAGATTTATGCCAAAGATTTATGTATGTTATTAAATTATTGATCACCCAGTCACCATGTTGCTTTTTAAATGTTTAATTGTAAAATTAGAAAACTAATAAAATATTATAAAAAGAAAGAAAGAAGAGGAATGGAGAGAGCACACAGCCCTGAGCTAATTGCCCGTGTACTAGATGTTTTTTTCTCTAGCTTTACTTGTAAAAAAAATTGCACAGTGGAAACAAGATTTCTGAGACAAATAAAAACTCTCTGGTTTTATTCATGTTCATTTGTCTGGATTTTCAGAATATATGTCATGTCAACTGAATATATTTGAATGTCTTATCAGTGTTATTAAAATTGGGCAGAACCAAGCAAAAAAACCCCCAACAACTCTATGTTCTATTATCACACAGACACATTTAGGATTTATATGAATCAGCAAATAAAGTAAGTAAAAATTACTTATTTTTCTTTTTTGCCCCATTGTACAAAGTTGTGTTCCTTGAATTGCCGGGTTATGGTGATTATTTTCTAAACTTATGTTAACAAATATTTCGTGAATGAAGTCTGCTTGATCACAGAAAGTATGATGCTCACATGTTCAGCTCCTATATGGAAATGCCAAAAGAAGATTATGCCTTGGATAGTCTATCCCATCCTGAATGTTGAATCACAGATGGAACATCAATCTGAGGTTGTGTAACCCATTTTGCTTTTATTCCCATATGCTCCCATTTTAGTCCAGTATCATGAACAATGCTGGCACCTCTGAAGATACCAAGCCTTTGCCAGATTTCCAACAGATGGGATCCTTGAATTATTCATCCCCAAGTCCAGGATCCCTGACAAAGCATGTCTGCGCAATTTGTGGAGACAGATCATCAGGTATCCATACCTTGCATATCAAGGGGATTATCTGGGAATATTATATAACTATTATCCTATAATATTGCCTCAGGATTTTTCCCGTTGTATAATGCTTTCAGTTGGTCATGCAGAAAGTAGTGTTTCTTCATTCAGAGTAAAATCATTCTTAATGCATAGATTTTGAGAACATTGGACTATTGTTTATTTGAGGCCAATTTTTTTTTAGGAGCTGATGAGAGGTGTTAACTGCTCTCGCAAACTAACATTGCTAAAACATCCACACCTCACATAATTTCACTCCTTTCCCTGGTTGGCTGCTATTCTGATCACATCTGGGTCCTTCCCAGTATTCTGTATCACAGTCTGGCCTCTTCCCTATACAGTTTTCTTAGTCCTCTCAGGCATATTGAGTGGTTCTGTATTTAACCATTTCTGAAACAAAGTGCCCTGATAGTTTGAATGTCCAGATTCAAAACTACAGAAAATATTTAAACTTGCTTATATATCCCAGTTGGAATATGCTGATGTGTGTTGCTGTATTGCTAGGGAAGCACTATGGGGTGTACAGTTGTGAAGGCTGCAAAGGATTCTTTAAGCGGACAGTAAGAAAGGACCTTGTCTACACATGTCGAGATAATAAGGACTGTCTGATCGACAAGCGTCAGCGAAACCGTTGCCAGTATTGCCGCTATCAGAAATGTCTAGCAACAGGCATGAAAAGAGAAGGTATGTTACTAAGGTATACACATATATGAACATATATACTAAGATATGCACACACAAACCATCCTTAATTATATCAGAAGAGCCATTCCCCATCATCCAGTCAGAGCTGAAGAAGCTTCTTGGATGAAAAGCAAAACATCTTCAAAGAAAAGCAAGAAAGTCCAGTTGCCTTGTAAAAAAAAAAAGTACCTTTGGGACAACCATGACCTGGATGACTGAGAATCTCCGTAGACATCTCTCATAGCCCCATTGTTTTGTTCTTTGTCTGGAATAGATGAATCAATCCTCCATCAGCTGAAAGTCAGCCACTGCTAGGTAGTTTACTCTATACATTTTATGTTCTGCCATTTTGAAGAATATAGGAAATGTGTTCTGAAGTCTCACTGTGGCAGTCACAGCATGCGTGTGTGTGTGTGTGTGTGTGTGTGTGTGTGTGAGAGAGAGAGAGAGAGAGAGAGAGAGAGAGAGAGGAAGTAGATGAATGTGTAGTAGACCTCAGTTAAATGAGGTGTGCAGAAAACATACCATTGTGGGGGACTTTAACTACCCTGATATCAAGTAGGCAACACCCTACAGCAAGCAGAGCCTATTCCAAAAAATTAAGAAGGAGATTAAGAAGAACTCAATGTGTGGAAATCCTAAAGAAAAAAGCAATATCTGTCCAGAATTCTACAACCACTGGGAATAATGGTAGCTCACAAACCAACATCAAACTCCAACAAGAGCTGTACAGAACCAAGGACAAAATACTGAAGGAAGAGAACAGCAATGTAATCCACAAGTTCAAATGCAACAACTGTGACCAAATCTATATTGGACAAACAGGACAATTAAAAACAAGAATCCATGAGCACCGACTAGCAGCCAACCAGCATGACCACAAATCCTTGATCTCAATCCACAGCGACACCAAGCACCATCACTGGGACAGAACAAAAACCATTGGCCATGCCACATACCATGCAGGCAAATTTGTCAATGCCTGATATTCAACGAATAGGTCAATCAATAAACATATCAATCTGGAACCAATCTATGAGCTCATAAGAAGCCAGATTAATCGGGCAACCAACTCATCACTGCACCAACCACCTCCTCACTTGGTGACCTTCACATGACGTGACCACCCAGTCACATGACCAACCAATCACATCACCACTTAAGATAGATAAAAGTGGAGGGAAACTGAGACTGAAGATGTTGCCTAGCCTAGTGACGAAATGTTTGGAAGCCAAACAACAAGCTTGGAGAACAAACCACCACCAACAAAAAGGAAAGTATAAAAAAAATGGAAAGAGGTGCTCATAACAAGAGCAGAACTAGAATACAGCCTACTTCCTGATAAATTAGAAAAATATGGTATAGATAGCATCACCTCCAGATGAATTTATAACTGCTAAGAAACCATACTCAATATGTAGCCCTCAACAGAACTACACCCACATGGAGGGAAGGATACAGTGACCTCAAGGTTCTGTCTTGGGCCTAGTACTCTTCAACATTTTCATAAATGATCTAGATGAGGGAATAGAAGGGGTACTCATCAAATTTGCAGATGACACCGAGCTGGGGAGGGGGGAATAGCTAAAACTTTGGAATCTAGACTCAATATTCAGAAGAATCTTGATAGACTTGGATATTGGGGCCTATCTAACAAAATGCAATTCAATGTTAAGAAAAGTAAGGTCCTGCATTTAGACATGAAAAAAATCCCTCATAGTCACTGCTGAAGAAAGTCTTATTAGAATAACTGCCTGAATATAGAAAATAATCTAAGGAAGAAGAAAACCCTATTCTGGACTTAGGCACCCTCCTGATGGGTGGGGGTCAGAGATAATGTAAGGAAGTCACAGTATGAAGGTGTGATTATATTTCAGGAGTAGAGAGTGACAAAATTCTTGTGGACCTTTTCTTTGTGCACTAAGCGGTTCAAGAAGAGAGGCAGAGAAGCAGAGAGCGGAGTGAGAATGAAGTGGAATCTACAAGCAGCAATGGTGGAAGTCTTGAAGATATGCCTGTGGAAAGAATTTTAGAAGCTGAAATGGCAGTTGAACCAAAGTCTGAGTCATATGGTGATGTGAGTGCAGAAATCTCGGTAAGTGAGATTGATATCAGTGCTGTTCTTTAGGCTACGAGTAACTGTGAGTTATGTGAGTAACAATGAATACCCTGAATAAAACACATGAATTAATGCACATTCAGAAAAATGACCTCTTTGGCAAGTGCACTATAGGTTCATAATCTAAAATATTTTTAACAACTGCTAATTATAGACACCTTGGGTCTTCTTATGACATACACAAGCAGAAACTTGAAAGTTAGGACTATCTGTCCATTTTGGTTTCTCTGTCTAACAAAGTACTAATCTGAAGTTGCTTGTTCTGCCTCTTTTTGCAGGCACACACCTGGGGAACATAAGTTGTTTGGATTTCCTCCTGATACGTTGTATTTAGCTAAGTGTTAAGCTTCTAGAGGGTATTTATTTTAAATAAAAGTTTTTTGCTTTACTAACATTGCTTGGGTTGAATTCCCAATCTCAGGAATGCTCGTATGTACATGCAAATGCTTTCTCATTCATTCATTTATTCATTCATTCATTTCCTGACTTTATTGTTTTTATAAATAGCTCAAAGAGACTTCATCCTCCCTCACCAAAGCCAGAAAGCAGAAGAAATTAAGAATTTGACTTAATTCTGATCTGTTAGCTGCTAAAGAATTTTGTGAGCAAGCACAGGCAAAAAGGCAGTAGTGAAATTCACAGAGGTCATTGCCAATCCTGCATAATGGGAGAATTCCTTACTTGGAACCAAGCTGTCTTGGGCTGCTCTCTTAAGATGAAATGGAAGAAAGACACCCCAAATTCACTACCTGGGCTGCTGTTTCTACAGTGTGCAAGCCTGGTATTTGGGCAGTGTTTCAGTTTCTTAAAATGCACTTTTGCTTGATATGGGTATGGCTTTGTTGATTGGCCACCAGTATCATGTCATAGTCTGACCTTTAGACTTTTCAGTTGACAGAAAGGCAATTTCATTCTTTTTTCTTTTCTTTCCCTGGTTGAGTAAATAGGGGGAAAAGATGACAGAGAATACCAATTGAAAACAAGAATTACTCCATCACCCTGGACTGTCCTTGGGTAGATAGATAATATGGAAAGACTCTTACAATAGATTTAATAGGAAGACTGTTAGTTTCTAAAATTAGGTTTATAGAAAAAAGCTCAAAAAAGTGTTTTTGCTGGCTTATGTACTTGTTTCTCCCTTAGACCAATGATCCTGTCACCAATATTTGCCATGCAGCTGATAAACAGCTTTTCACATTGGTTGAATGGGCCAAGCGGATTCCACACTTCTCAGACCTGACATTAGAAGATCAAGTTATCCTCCTCCGAGCAGGTAATGGCTTGTAGGCTTTCTCTTTGCCATTGCTCTCCTTGAATGATCAACACAGCACCAGAAACTGGAAAACTTGCATGATGTAGCTGTAGGTTGTAGCTGATGAAATGACTTAGATGAGGGAATAGAAGGGGAACTCATCAAATCTGACACTAAACTGGCAGGAATAGCCAACACAAGCTCAGGATCCAAAAAGATCTTGACAAACTTGAACAATGGGCTCTACCCAACTAAATAAATTTTAATGGGGAGAAAAGCAAAGTTTTACATTTAGACAGGAAAAATCAAAGGTACAAGTACAGATTAGGCGAGACCTGGCTTAAAAACAGTAACTGTGAGAAGAACCTTGGAGTCCTAGTGGATGATCACTTGAATATGAGCCAGCAGTGTGCAACAGCAGCCAAAAAAGCTAATACAATCCTGGATTGTATAAATAGAGGCGTAGAATCAAGATCACGCAAAGTATTAGTACCGCTTTATAAAACCCTAGTAAAACCACACCTGGAATACTGCAACCAATTTTGGTCACCATATCACAACAAAGATGTTGAGACTTAGAAAAAGTTCAGAGAAGAGCAGCCAAGATTATCAAAGGCCTGGAGACTAAAAAAGATGAAGAATGGCTGCAGGACTTGGGTTTGGCTAGTCCATGGGTTGGCAACCTGCGGCTCTGGAGTTGCATGCAGCTCTTTGAGCCATCTCCTGCAGCTCCAGAGCCTCCTCTGCATTTGCAGAGAGAGAGAGACAGAGACAGAGAAGCACTTGCGCTTCCCTTCTCTCTCTCTCTCTCTCTCTCTCTCTCTGTCTGTGTGTTTCATGCAGACTTGCCCCCTTGCGGGGCTCCTCATTGGCCCTGCACCTGGGTACCCTGCCTCCTGGGAGAAGGGGCCAGGAAGTCCCTTTCCTGGGCTGGCTCCGTCGAGGTGCACGTGGCTGGGGAGCCGTGTGGGGAAGCCCCAGGATCCCCACTGGGAGCAGCCCGCTGGAGCCTCCATTGAGCGGGCCAGCCCTCCCGCAAGCCACGGCCCTGAGGGAGAGCAGCCCCTGCAATCCCCAGCTGGCACAATTGTTGGCCCTGCTGGCCAGGAAGGTGCACCAGAGTCCCGGTTGCCAGGAAGGAAGAGGGAGATGCAGCAATGGCAGGAGAGGAGAGCCTCCTCCTGGGGCCTGGCGCTGGTGGCCCACAGTGGCCCACCACAGCTACATCGGATTGGCGGAGGGTGAGCCCCAGCAGCACAGAGTCCCGGCTGGAGTGGCGGCGGCTTCCTCCCCCTCCCCCTCCTCCCCTTCTTCCTCCTGCTGCCCCCTGGTTGGCGACGTTTCAACGAAGTCCCATTCATAATCTTCAGGCTGGTGTTTTCAGCTTCGTCAAAACGTCGCCAAGACACTTCCAATTTTACACGGGAGAAAATCCGAACAACCAAAGACCTACATACAAACACCCGCGAAAACCTCAGAAAACATATATATATATATACACATATACATACATATATTCACACACATATACATACACATACACATACACATACACATACACATATACATATACATATACATATACATACATACATACATACATACATACATACATATATATATATATATATATATATTCAATAATGATGGTGAAAATGCGACTCCCGGGCATAATTATAAATGGAATGAATAAAGCGCGTTCACCAGGAGAATTTAAAGTTAAAATACTTTAATTAAAGTATTTTACTATATTAAAAGGTTGCCAAGCTTTCGTTGGGAAAACTCCCCAACATCTTCAGGGCTGAGAGACCGTTTCTAACAAGGTGATTCAAACGGGTTCCATAGACGTCTGCATGTGGTTCCTAGACTGTGCTAGCATTCCCTGCTGAACAGCTGATAGGTGGGGGGGGAGAATCGGAGTAAAGATTTCTTCTGTCGTTCTCTCGAGCACTTTTGTTCACATTTCCGTCGACCTCAGGGGGTATTGTTAAAGTTATGTTCCGCCCTCTCCCAGCAGTACTGGCTCTCGTTGCAGTGGGGGGATTTAGTTTGATGTCATTGTGTATCCTACCATGGAGGCGGGGCTTCATCGGCTGCAATTTAACATCTTTCCTCTGCTGCGTGCTCCCGTATTTATCTTCGCTCGCATGTACAAGCATCAACTGGATGTGGTATTTTTCAGTGTTTGAATCATCCTCCTCCATCATGGTGTCCCCCATGCTCATCTTCCCTTGTAGGTCAATATTCAAGTTAAATCCCCCCCATTTCTGTGAGCAAAAGTCTGTTGGTATTTGGGCAGATTCCCTGCTCATGTTACTTTCCCTTTTATCAAGCGAACAGGTCGTCATCACATGTTTTTTCTCCCCTCTCTGTATGGGATATCCACCTTTATTATTATTATGGGTAGTGCTAAATTTAGTGGTTCTATCCTCAAATTTCTTAAGCGCTCCAATGTCATTATTGTTGTTTTCTCCAATTAAAGGGAGTGTGGTTTCCCCTTGATATTGTTGGGGAAAGCGCTACGAAAATGGAACTCAAACCATCATCCTTTATATCACAAACCTTACAATCAACATCCACAACATTCTAAACCAGGAGCTACACCTCCTCCCTACCAGAAACAATCTGATATAGACTACCCAGAAAGCCCCCAACAATATCAAGGGGAAACCACACCCCCTTTAATTGGAGAAAACAACAATAATGACATTGGAGCGCTTAAGAAATTTGAGGATAGAACCACTAAATTTAGCACTACCCTTAATAATAATAAAGGTGGATATCCCATACAGAGAGGGGAGAAAAAACATGTGATGACGACCCGTTCGCTTGATAAAAGGGAAAGTAACATGAGCGGGGAATCTGCCCAAATACCAACAGACTTTTGCTCACAGAAATGGGGGGGATTTAACTTGAATATTGACCTACAAGGGAAGATGAGCATGGGGGACACCATGATGGAGGAGGATGATTCAAACACTGAAAAATATCACATCCAGTTGATGCTTGTACATGCGAGCGAAGATAAATATGGGAGCACGCAGCAGAGGAAAGATGTTAAATTGCAGCCGATGAAGCCCCGCCTCCATGGTAGGATACACAATGACATCAACTAAACCCCCCCACTGCAACGAGAGCCAGTACTGCCGGGAGAGGGCGGAACATAACTTTAACAATACCCCCTGAGGTCGACGGAAATGTGAACAAAAGTGCTCGAGAGAACGACAGAAAAAATCTTTACTCCGATTCTCCCCCCCCCACCTATCAGCTGTTCAGCAGGGAATGCTAGCACAGTCTAGGAACCACGTGCAGACGTCTATGGAACCCGTTTGAATCACCTTGTTAGAAACGGTCTCTCAGCCCTGATGATGTTGGGGAGTTTTCCCAACGAAAGCTTGGCAACCTTTTAATATAGTAAAATACTTTAATTAAAGTATTTTAACTTTAAACTCTCCTGGTGAACGCGCTTTATTCATTCCATTTTATATATATATATATATATATTTATATATATATATATATATATATATATATATATATATATATATATATATATACACATACATACATATACATACATTAAGAATGCTAAAAACAAAAAGTTGATTCCTGGGTAAACTCATGTTAACTAGCAAAAAATGCACGAACACCAGGAAATTATAAAACTATAAAAAGTTTTAATAGGATAAAAACCAAGCTTTCGCTGGCAGCTGCCTGGGCTGCTAACTTTCCCTTTCGTTTTCTCATCAATGGGAACATTTTTAACAGCCTCCCCGGAGATCGTAACACCCTCAAGTTGGCTGTGCTCTCGCTTTGGGGATGTAGGAGAACTACGTGAGGACGAAGAGGCGATTACTTACAATCTTAGAGCCTCTGTACGCTCCCAGAAATACCTGAGAGGAATGATCCCCCATGGAAATACACAAGGAGATGCAAATCAAGAACTAAAGGACTCTGTTTCCCTCCCCTTGAGGATGATCACGCACCCCCAAAGAATGGAGAAATGTATGAGCAGCGGAGAGGGGGCGATCCCTACACCAAGAACTCTGTATGGAGGGGAGGGCAACAGCCAACTTGAGGGTGTTACGAACTCCAGGGAGACCATTAAAAATGTTCTCATTGATGAGAAAATGAAAGGGAAAGTTAGTGGAGCAGCACTGGAGAACGAGAGTCATGATGATACAACCACAATGGAATCCTGTGACGTAGGGAAAAACAATGAGGATGTAGTTGTGAAAAAGGACCATAGAAAAAGGGAAGGTGGGAGGAGAAAGAGGATGGGGAGTGCTAGGAAAGAAGGTGAGGAGAACAAACAATGAAAACACGGGCAACATATATTTGATCATATGAAACTAAGGGGCCCCCTTGGCTTACGGTCACATGAGGAGGGGAGAAAGAGTGGTGATATTGGTACAAGCAAGGAAAGCAAGGAAATTACAGCTAGCAATACAGAAATTACGATCAAAACACAGGTGTATTGGCTGGGACCTGTAACAAGGTCTAGGAGCCGGGCACAAAGAGCGCCACATTTATAAATAGCTTCCCCCATCGACTGGAAGTTATCCTGACGATGCTGGCAGTTGCCAGCGAAAGCTTGGTATTTTATCCTATTAAAACTTTTTATAGTTTTATAATTTCCTGGTGTTCATGCATTTTTTGCTAGTTAACACACACACACACACACACACACACACATATATATATTAAAAATTACATTAAAAATTGAAGAATAGCGATTCCTGGGTACATACATTTCAGTAAAAAAGGAAGCGATCACCAGGAAATAAAACACCAAAGTTTTAATAAATAAAATCAAGCTTTCGATGGCTAACATCTGCCATCATCGTCAGGATACAAGCCAGCTAGTGAGGAAACCTGCATATATATATATATATATATATATATATATATATATATATATATATATATATATATATATATATATATTTGGTTATTTGGGTTTTCTCCCACTTATCCAATCCATATATGAAACAAACTGACACCCACCATGAAGATGAGGC